AGAAGAACCAAAGCCACATAAATACTGGTTTTGGGGGCGGTGGAAAAAAAATGGCATTCAGTTTCTAGGTCAGTTAGTGAGCAGCAGCTCATAGCCACAGTGCTCAGACCTCACAGGAATACATTTCCCATATTCTTACTGCATAGATACATGGATACAAAACCCTCTGCATCTCATACGGCAATTTAAACCATACAATTTTATTGATTTTACCACAATTTCTCCTGAAGGCATCTAGCTGGTTTGCTTGGGAAAAAAGCTTCAAGTCAACAGGTTATCTGAGGTGTGGGGGACCGTGGAGTCAGAGTCTGGACAAAATATTGACAGATAGGTTTTCTGAAGATAACACAGGTTTTCTGAAGGTAACACATTTCTCCTTCTTAGTCCCAGCACTTTTACACTTGCACTTTCCCTATTTTCTTGCTATGTGTTCCTCTATTTTTTTGCTATCATATTTCTTCAAGTTTTATTTCTAATAATCACTTTTGTGATTATAAGATGTTTTTTAATGGTGTAGCTCCAGTCTTTAAGCTCCTTCATACCTTCATTTAGTCTTTTCTTCTTCATATTATTTGCTGTTTCTCTCTGTTTATTTCTCATTGTATGGTCCTAACCGCCTCCCTTACAATCAGTTAAGCCTTTGCCAACTGATCTAAACTGGCTTTAGCCATGGTTTAAAAATGTTAAAACCTGCCTCAAGCCTTTATACTTCTGTCTTCCCCTTCATAAAGAAGAGGTTGCAACTTCTATAAGAACAATCAGTGCCAGTGCTTGCCCAGGGCCCTTCTTCTCTTTTTCTTTTGTTTTAAGATTGCAGAATAAGTAACTAAGTATAGTAGGTAAGAATCCCGAGAGATACAAGCAGAAATGGTGCCAGCAACCGCCAGTTACAGTGAGCTTTAAGTTTCTTCTTTAATGCACTACTTAACAGTGAAGCAGCAAGACAGAGCCCAAGGTTCTTACTAATCACTATTTTGAGCTCCAAAATTAAGCAGAGACATATTCAGAACAATTCAGTAGTAATATTTTCGTGTAAGGACACATGTGGGGTGAAAATAATGTTATTTACAGACTATATTCAATTCATCTGTGTTGAAAATAAGAATAATAAGGACAGGGGGTGGGGAGGTTGGTTGGTGCTGGGACCACAATACCTAGTGTTCTGGAATTACTTTCTACCAGTAGAAGTATTAAGGCTTTCTGACTACTGGCTAAAATATTTCTGAAGAATGGCTGAAATGCCCACAGCGATCTTCCGATAGCCAGTCACACCTGTATGGAGGCACACACAGTTGAAGTGGGGATTCTGAACTCCAGGCCTCCCAAACTCTTCCTAGCATGTTCTTTTACCAGTTACACAGGTTATACTATTGTCTCCATAATCCACTCTGTCATTTGTAGTAATTTGCATTGTTGAAATGAAACCAAACTGAAATAATTCATTTGAAAGGTTTTTTGTTATCTGAAATAATTATAGCTATAGCTTAAACTTAGGCTTCCAATTTCATATACAGAATGGAATCTGTTGTGTGGTTGATATTAGCAACTAAGCCATTAGACTAATTCATATGTATCATATGCATATACCTGGAGAACAGAATACACGTGTTTCAACTTGCAGCTTAGATGATGAAGCTCAACTCATTTGCAAACAATTGTCTGACTGACAAAAATACAGAAAGAAACAATGCCTTGGTAACAGTAATTTCCTATATAGGAATCTTGTTGCATAATCAGCTCTTAGCAGATACTCCAAATGCAGCGAATATACTGTGCATTTATTCCTACTTGTACTTGTACAGAAGATTATGACCTTTTCTTTGACATGTATTCCCCACAGCTGTTTCACAGTCATATTAGTTTAATAAGATAATATGTATGGACTCTCTCTCCAAGGAGAATAGTGGAACCAAAACTACAGTGATGATAGCTCCAGGAAGCATTTAAACTAGCACACCATCTTTTGTAGTGGGTAGAAACAAGACCAAGCACTTGAGTTCTGACCACTTCAAATGATTTTCCTCTTTGCTTCAACTTAGATTAGCCTTAGCACTTGGGTAACAGTCTTCAGTACGTAATAGCTGAAAACTGCCAGGAGATTTTTTAAACAAAGAACCCTCTTCTCTGCAGTGCACGGACATACTTTCTCTCCCACAACAGGGCAAGAAGCCCTAGATTTGGTGATCAGCAAGAGCCTTGTACAAGATCACTCTCTTTTCTAAAAGCATTCCTCTAGAGAATTAAAAGTGATCAAGCAGTCTGAAAAAGGGCAATCTCAGCCTGGGCTGGATACAGGTCAAACGTATAAACGAAGCTGCACATCAGTTAGACTTGCTGCTGATAAGTATTGACAGCAGCATGGCCTTTCCCCTTTCCTTGGACCATCTTCTCTTCAAGTCTAACTTATATAGATCAAAATAATTATACTGCTCTGTCCTGGGTTCAGCAGTAGCAGTCATTTTTCTGTCTTAGCTCGTGCAGTGCTGTGGTTTTGACTTTCAGCCTGGGAACAGTGCTGATAACACCGATGTTTTTAGTTGTTGCTCAGTAATGTTCACTCTGACCAAAGACTTTGTGAGTCTCATGCTCTGCCAGGGAGGAGGGGAAGCCGGGAGGAAGCAGAGACAGGACACCTGACCCAAACTAATCAAAGAGGTATTCCATACCACAGCACGTCATGCCCAGTATATAAACTGGGGGCAGTTACCCAGAAGGGGGAGATCACAGCTCGGATCGGGCTGGGTATCAGTCACTGGGTGGTGAGCAGTTGTATTCTCTTCCTTTGTTATTTCCCTTATCATTATTATTGGTGGTAGCAGCAGTGGGTTTGTGTTATACCTTAGTTACTGGACTGTTCTTATCTCAACCCATGGGAGTTATATTCCTTCAATTCTCCTCCCCATGCCTCCGGGATTGGGGGGAGGAAGGGCAGGAAGTGAGTGAGCAGCTACGTGGTTCTGTTTACTGGCTGGGCTTAAGCCACGACATGCTCTTCTGTACTACTATCAAGATGTTCCTGACACTACATGCTGCCAGGTTTCAACAGGATTAAATTTTACCAATTAGGGCAGACTCATTAGTGGCCATTACTTTTAACAGGGATTTAAGAGTGGCTGCTTTATGTGTTGCAGTCTTGTTTGTTTTCAAAAGAACTGTAGTAACAGATAGTAGATTCCAGTCTTAGTTTGAATTCTACAGCAATTTTATGCTTTCAAAATGGTTAAGTTATAATTCCTTTCTATCTTTGAGGTACAAAAATTAGAAAGAGTTCCTCACTGTTTTGACCCCGTTTAAGATTTTAAATGCTCTTTCTCGGATAGATGGCTTAAGAAATTTTTATAGTTTATCTCTGACCTGCTTAAAGGAAACATTTCATACCTATTTTATTCCAAACTCAAAGTGGAAAAGAAGCAACAGTGGGGGAGAGGAAGAAGTTAATGACTATGGAAACAGGGAATTTTGTCAGAAGTCCCCGTTGGGGGAGGGGGTGGGGGGGGAAGTGGCAATTTCATTGATGTTTCTGCACCTAAAAAAAAAGCAAAGCTATTTTTTAATCTAACCAGCCTTTTTTCATATGAAGACAAAACACCAGATTTGATTTACGTTTCATTCCAAAAGTACTTAGTCTAACTCTAAAAATTAGTATTGTTTAATTAGAAAATTATTTTGAAAAAGTTGAGAAAAGTTTAGGTTTTTTTATTCCAAGTATTCATAGGAAAATTTAAAAGCAAATGAGATAAAAATCTTACAGCCAATTCTAAGATATTTGACTTACAGTCTTTTTCATACTTTTGCCTTTGCTGTACCATGCAGGGCCTCTATGCAAGAAAACTTCCTAATATAAACTCAAGAAGAATAAGAGCAGTTCCATATTCTGACTTACATTTCTTCATTTCTCAAATATTCTCTATACTAGTGTAATTTCTATTTGTACTCTACAATTCTGAAAGTCTCCTAATTGCAAGACATCCTAAAATAGATGTAAATTGTCTGGATGGGCATAATCCAATTTCTCATGGGCAGGTGTTCATATAAAAATCATCAACAAGTGGGCAGTTATTGGTGAGGGGTGTTAGGAAATTATTTGGCTCAGAGCTGAACTTCCTATTTAACCACAGGGATGACCAAATTAAGTCAAGGTCAAGTATGTGACAGAGCAGCTGTGCCATGCAGCAGATAAGGACTGCTGGTATATAAATAGTAAATTTGTTTTCATTTTCTAATCCACTATTCGTGTCTTGCAATTCAAGGCTGCTGCAGGAGAGATAGTGGCTTTCTGCACTCAGCCTTTAATTTAGGCTTTCCAGTTTCAGCTCCTTCCCAGGCTGCTTGAAGCCTTTCTGGTGGAGCAAGACCCTAGCACTCAGTGCATCACTTCAGTAGCTCACCTCTGGTTTGCAAGGAGAGCTTTACTTTACAAGGAAAGTTTTACAGCTGTCAAATATGGCAGAATAACCAGCTAATGTTCCCCCCTCCAGAATAATAGAGATGTTTAAATCTCCCTAACAGAATGAAATGACTGAACTGGGGGTGAGCTTCTTGTCTGCAGAAGATTTTACTCTCAGATGTAACCCATCTAGAACGCCTGGTAATCATTATAAATATGCTTTTAACATAGAGTGGGTTTGGATTCTGTAATGCTTTGGCTGAATAATGTATAATTTTCTGTTTCAGTAAATGAAAATAAATTGATTTATGGCAGTTAATGTACAGGTACTGAAAACGGTGACTGTGATTTTTTTGGTACCCATCAGTCGTCTTACTCCATCTGTTTCCTTCACTCATTACACTGGAATCCTGCTTCACAAAATGGAATCCAAACTCTATCTACAGCACAGTGTAAGTTACCTAGTTACCCAGCTGAAAGACATTTTCAAAATAAATAACTCTCCTTGTACTCTGTAGAAGGCGACATCGATTTCGTTGTTAATATATGTATGTCTGAGCAATCCTTCTTTCAACAAAATATACAACTGTCAGTAAATTTCCTTTAATTTCAGATTGTGCACTTCAAAATAATACCATAAAGGCTCATCATTTTAATCAGTTATTGATTACACCTTGGGGACTTTCCATCGATTCTACTTGATGCTGCTTTTAAAATGGTAAGTTCCTACAGAACTGCATGATATTATAAACTGGTTTAGATTTTTATGGCTAATACAGTAGTATAAATGCACAGTATTGTATGATTTCATTGGATAGTATAGCTTGTATTAAATTGTATTGACTGACTTTTTTTACTCTTTAACAGTTCTTTGGCCTGTTAATGATTAAAGATTTTGCTTTGACTCTTTACACTACATGTGTTTAACAGGAAAATAAAACCTAAGAAAGCCCTCCCACCTTTACTGTCCAAGATAGAAGGTACAATAAAAAGGCTGAAATTATTTTTTCTGAGAAATTTTTCATAGCACAAATACAAGAGCCACTACTAAAATCTATTTGTTCTATGGGATACTATAAACAAAGGATATTTTCATTATTGTCTCATCTTTAAGGCACTGTGGTGAGGTCATTTGAAGGTTGAGAAAGGGGGGAGTTGCTGTTGCGCTATAAAAGGACTCACAGTTTAAATATAAGTATTTCAGTAGTCATGGTGTTTTTCTTTTCTATACTAACACAATACCTACAATACTTGTTCGACGTATCTACATGCCCTAAATACTTTGCTTTATGCATTTACCATTTCATTATTAGCATCCTATTAAAAGGGAATAGTTAGATTTCTTCTGCAGCTACAAAGGACTTCTGACTGATGGTGAACTTATACATAATAAAACATACAAGAATGTTAACATGCAGAATACAGTTAACAGGAGCAAGTATTTGAAGACAACTTTATGACCAGGATGATAGTAACACTACTTATCATTTTGGGGGGTTGTTTTGTTTTGTTTAATCCCACGTTATTTTGCCAAAATGTCAGTAGTATAACTGTCCATAAGAATTTTACTGAATCAAAAGCAGTAAATTACCAAACCTCTTGAGACACAGAAGGAGTGTTTATAATATAGGGGATTTTAAAAATACATAGTGAGAACTTAAGTTGGAAATTAAATGTTTTCCAAAATGAAAAATGAAACAAGCTCTGGTACTAGCACTTTGTAAACAGATATTTCATGTTAGAGATTCATTATATTGATGTATGTGACTAACAAAAATGAGGATTGCAGTCCTTTTAATCTTCATGTGTACATTTAAATGCACATAACCCATTTCTCCTTTCTATGGCAGAGTTTGAAGTACTTACAAATGAAAGCCAAAACCAAATGGCTGGCATTAATCATACAGAAAAAAAAAAATAAAGTCTGTATAGCTCCTGTGGCCTTCCCGAAAGCATTAACAATAAAGTATTTGCATAAAGTTACAGCAAGAAAACACTTATATGTGAGAAAACATGCATCTTTTTGACATCTGCAAGCCACCTCTCTTGATCTGCTCTATAAATAGCAACTATTTGTTGAGAGACTAAAACCAAGACAGTGTCCTGGAAAATAAGAGAGACTGTATGTTTTAGATATATTCAAAATAGTGTGAATAGATCTGTATCATACAGATACACAACTATCAAACACATTTGAATTATAAATCTCTTTTGGTCTAGTCTTCCTCCTTTTCCAAGCAGTGGTTAAACTTCCACTAACTCCTTTCAAAGCAGTATCAGCCTTGACTCGTTCTTGCTCTAGTAATATTTTCTGGCCCACAGAGTATCAATATTAACAATGACTGTCAGAAGACCTGTACAGGCTCCAGTGAAAAAAAGTATTCATTTCTCTAAATGAATGCCTGAGCTCTGACTTTCAAGTGAAGACAGAGATCAGCAAGTCAGCTGCTGTTCGTATTGCTTTCTTACTCATAATAAAAAAAAGGAGGCTTGCGAACTGCTTGGTAGTATAATCCCTTCCTTCCCACGAATTTGATGTAAGTTTTCTTATAAAATAACTTTATTTCCCTGCTTTGGTTATATATATAACTTTAGAAATAAGTATGATCCAAGGCTAAATTCCAAACCCAAAAGTTGACACAGTATAGGGGGTCAGCAGTGAGGTTGAAATTTCAGATTAATATGGTGACTTAATCCTGTGAAGGTGGGTGTAAGGGCTTCTCAGTTTCAAGAAGTGCTTCAGCTGCTGTCTTTTTAATGTTTCCCGGACTCACTGCAGAACTGCATATCAAGCTGTTTCTTAGAGCAGATAGCAACCTGTTTATATTTTGGCAAAAGGAAGCTGCAAAGGACAAATAGAAGGCACTTCAGCACACAGTGCTGTAGAGCAGTGTTAGAGGGACTGAAATGGAACCAAACAGGGAAAGTTATCTTCCTTGGGAGCTAGGGGGAAGGAGGTAGCCGAATGGAGTCACAGAGCTCAGGTAAGTTCAAAGCTGCATGCTGCATTTCACAAAACTAAATCAAACCATGGCCTTTATTTTTAGACATCTGCATGAAGAGAAGGGAGATTAAGATGCCAGAAATTATTATCCTTCACAGGCAGAGTCACTCAGGAATCCAATCTGTATGAGTGCAGATACTTGCAAACATCGATTCACCAGGATACAGCACTGAGCTACAACTCACACAGTTTTAGTGCCGTGCAACAACCCAGCAGTCAAAAAACTTATCCCATTAGAACAGTGTACAAATTGACAGTCTGCTATGCTGCTTTGCAAAATCATCATGGGAGCAAATATCTTTAGGTTTGCCTTAACCTACCATCTGTCCACACAAAAAGTCAAAATGCATGCATTTACACACATTTTGCTAGCCAGTAGCAGACATCAAGCATTATTCCTTTCCCCCACCCTTCTCTTTAATAGGGAGATGAGATAAGAGAAAGTCTTCAGTCATGGCATATACATTTTCTGTGAAAAAAATAAACTAAAGAAACTGGATAAGTATCAGTGTGCAGAAAAGCACAGCCCAGGTGGAATACACAACCCAGTGCACACTCTCTTTGTCTGCTATATACTGCAGAATATTTACACAAATATAGGGAACCGTCAGTGGCAACAGGAGGCAGCACTTGTATTTTAGACCAGTCCCAGTCAGTGCCTTCAGAGAGCTATTTGAAACCAGCTGGGCATTAACCTAAATAGCATTTACTTGAGTTCAAAATAAATTACACATTCTTGGTCCTAACTTCCTGTTTCAGAGTGCAACAATATTTTAGTTTACCCTAAAGCGAGGACAAAATGAATCATGTAAGTCTAAGTGGATGCATTAAGCATGCTAAATGAGGAATGGGCATAATCATTTAAAGCAAAAGCAATTAGATCATAGGAATGCATTTAAATACTTACAGCAGCAATTATTTCATTTCGAGCTACTTGAGACTATGAGACCATAACCTGAAAATTTAGTCAATTACTTTTGATTTGTAGACAAGTGCTAAACTACAGGATTTTAGCTTTCCATGGTTAACTGATCAGAACATGCTTTTCTTTCATTCTTGGTGTTTAGATTTTATTGTTAATGCAGGAAATCTACATAATCCTGAAGGTGCAGTATCGAATATATGGAACTTAATATAAAAATAACAAGGCCTGTTGCACTTTTTGGTAATTCTTCATATTTAATTAACATAAAACTTCACTTCTGAATTTTAATTCACTGACTAATAGCTTCATTAACATACAATTATGATTACCTGTGGTGTTTCATGTCCCTCTAGAAGGCTAACTCAAAAACATACGGACTTTGGAGAGGGACAGTGGCAAGTAGAAACACACTGGAAACAGCCTTAGGTTGCATTACTGAAAGCAAAATTCCCTGTACAAACTCAAATTGAATGGGATCTTGGAGGTGACAATAGAAGGGGGATTTCATAAAGCAAGTTGAGGGAATGATGACTGGAGGAACCTGGCAAAGGAAAAACAGAAGATTCCTCAAGAGGAGATACAACAAAACAACTATCTGAATTAATATAAAGAAATGTTGACAATGACTTCACACAGCCTTTTGAAAGACTGGGAAATAAATTAGAAGGATTAAATAGTGTCTATCAATTGTCAGAGGGATATGCCTCTTGTTTCTCCCCATCTTATTCATCATCAAGTTCAGCATTATCAGTAGAACATTTTTCACCTTCTCTTACAGAGTTACAAACAGCAGTCCTGATGCCATGAGCATGGCAAAAGTTACTCAGCTGTGCCCAATTTTCTCTGCTGCTGAATCATCTATCATAATCAATGTATTGAAGAATAAACCCAATAGAGTTTTCATGATGGCAACCTGAGGAACTATACTAAAATGAGAATTATGTATGTATATGCAGAGTTTAGCCCTCTGTAGAGGACCCAGGCTTTGCATGAAATTCCTCTTCAGCTTGATAGGCAAACAAGAACAAAATACACTGATCTTCAGCTCAACATAATGCAAAGCAAAGAGGTGAAATTTCACTTTAGTGTCATATCTTGCAGAAAGAAATAACGTTTGCTTGTTTTATTTATGCAAGTTTAGAGGACGCTGACATACATAGACGTAAAAAGGAGGATCTTTAAGCTCCCTTCCAACCCCAACCATTCCATGATTCCATGATCACGAAAATATGTGCAAAAATAAATATATTCTGTTCTTGAACTTACTTGAACTTACACAGTTACAGTAACTGCCGTATTAGTGAATGACAAACATCTCGGGTAGACTGAAAACCATTTTTCTGTTAGAAGTGCATTAGAGATATAAGCTTAGATTTTGCTAATACACCAAGAGTTAAGCTCCAGGAAAAATCAATAGTGTGTCACTGATTGCAAAATTTAAACAAAGTTAACAGATGTCTACTGTTAGAATTTTCATTATGCCATTGTAAGACCTCTGGAATGTATTTTTTGTAGATGGCCTGTCTTCTCTAATGGCATAATTTTGCAGAGAAGAATCATGTGATGAATGATTAATATACTGAAGTGAAAAGAAGTTGAAAAAGGGGTAGCGAATGTTTTATGGTTCTGTTAATTTATTTTTCCTCTATGAGTAAAAACACTTCACAAAAGGAAATTAAATCTTTGAAGAGTAAAATATGCCAGTAAAAAGACAGTCTCCTCTATGTAAAATAATACTATATATACGTAACTTCTTCGAAGGCAAAGAAGCAAGCCAACAGCACAACATGTCTGGCACAGTATCAGTATAGAATATCAGGGGAAAGGAGAGAAAGTTATGTTTTGAAATTATATTACTATCAGAGCAATAAAGATGTAGACAATAAAGATGTAGATTTTTAGCTGATAACAATGTCTCTCAAAAAACACTAACCCCATTTATCAACTAAAACTAACATTTGCCCCTCCTTCAAAAGCAGGCTGGGAAATGAATCTTTGTGCTATCTATACAGAGCACACAGCCTGGATATAACTTATTTTAGTTAGTCATCATAGCTGATTTAAAAGCTATGTGGACATTGCTACTCAGACATTATTATGGACCAAATGGTCAATTCTCAGCCTCCTCCTATCTGAACCCAGGGGGCTTGTCATCAGCAAGTTATGAAAACACTCAGCTTCTACCAGGCTTTTCATTCTTCTGCTCTGAAAGCACTAGGAAGGTCCTATAACATGAATTTAACTCGGGTGGCAATCACATAAGGCATTGTTGTACATGCCAGGTTCCACTTTCCCTCATCACATGGTAAGAGTTTGAATATTCATAGACATCAAAACAAGTATGAACATTTTTAATGATGGGAATTCAGTATAGCAGTGATGTTTCTCTCACCCATGTTTTTTCTGCTTCTAATAAACACATGAATACTGTCATGTCCTTACCATTTGCCTTAGAATGATTTCTAAACATTTTTCTCTGTCCATAAGTCTTTCCAAATCTTGTTGCCTCACCTTTAATCACCATGTTATTATCTAATGTCCCAATTAGTAGTAAGTTATAATATAATTCAGCTAATAAATAATCATTATCTTAACCTAGACTTTGTAATCATAGGAGCATAACTCATTTTTTCCACCAAGTACTTCAAAAAGTAGCAGCCAATAACAAATTTTAACCTTTAATATCACAGTAAGAAGAATGAGTTTTGCCACCAATTTTAATAGGACTAATCTTGTATCTAATTAATGTATTCTTCTTAACAAGACAAAAGTCAATAAGCTTCCAATAGAAAATTCTAATTTCTTTATCGGAGACTTCTCTAAGAAGTATTTTTGACTTGTACCTAGACAACTGACCCAGGGTGCTGCAGGATACAGCTAGCATAGCATTATACTTCTCACCCAGAAATAGAATAGACTGTACTGGAGGCTTAGCCTAAATCATATTTAAGTGTAGATTCCAAAGACTATGAACTAAAACACAGCACCCTGAATTCCATCTTCTATCTTCAGAAACACCTGGATTCCTATCTTCTTCATCCAGATAACTCTATTGAAGAGCATTGATTACCCTGGTATTTGTTTCAGAAATAGAAAGCTAAAGCATACAAAAACACTTGTCACAGCTAGAAGACACAGAACAAAACATAAGTAAAGTCTTTTGTGGTATATAACTTAAAACCTTTTTTCTGACACTAGCCTGAAAAGGGCCAGGAATAAGGAATGGACATGTTTGTATACCTAGAGCCCAAAGAATCTGATGAGATTTCATAAAGAAGAGCTTATAGCATTGTGCTCCCAATCAAGTAAGTCTGCAGCAACTCCAGCTTTAAGCAATGTAGAACAAGCTAGATTTTATCACCCAGAGGTGGCAAAACCTGAAGGAAATATTGAGAGAAACAGTATTTCTTGAGTCTAAATTTCCATTTCCACCTTGAATACAATTCTAACATGATCATGCAGGTGAATTTAAATTTAATGAATTCTGTGTAAGAAAAAAGTCTGTTTACAAAAAGAAAACTCGTATGACACAAATATATGAAACAAACTCCTTTCGTCAAGCATGGATGAGAATTCATTTAAGGTTTCTTTCTCCAGTGGGTATTTAACAGAAGTTTTATTCATCTAATTGCTTTTAAAATGACAAAAATCAGTGTTTCTTTCAAAACAGGTATGAACCAAAGTTAACTCATGATGAGGCTTGAATTATCTTTAGTTCCTCCTCTTCAGATTTTTTTTTTATGAAAGAGATTTATGAAGAGGTTCAGTTGTGTGTGCCAAATTAAGGTTGTAATGACTGATAAACAGATAGGATATCATATTTGAAAACAGAATCTCTTCTATCAAAGAAAAAAAAGGTGCTCCTGAGTACAAAGGCAGTATGCTTTTTTGTCTCACTATATGTAATACTGCCATTATCCTTTCTTACTAGACAGCATATTAGCTAAGAGCTTCACTTCCTGTCCTCTTTTTTTGTTCACTGATCATAGCATAGGGATGTGGATAAGACTAAAGAGTCATTCTGGGAAAAAAAAAAAAAATTGAAATCTAAAAAAAACCAAAACAAAACAAACAAGACCCCTCTGCACCTCCCCTAAACTCACCAATATGCTACATCCCAGCCTGAAAATTGCTTCAGTAACAGAATGACAGACAGAAGCCTCTGAAGATGATGAAGTGGGCTTCAAATACATATCCACAAGAAAAGTATATTATAATATTCGGAAGTCTCTTTGTTTCTTTTCATCAATACCTCTTGAATTTTATACATACACAAAATTCAAGATTTTTGTGCTCAAACAGAGAGAAAAAATCTACTTTTTTAAGACTTGAGTTTTATGGAAACATCAGTGATATTTCTGAAAATGGACCTGCCTAAGATGACTTTGGATCTTTAAACTGATAGACAGGATGTGTGTCTTTTAGATCATTGTCCCCTCAGCTTAGGAAGAACCAGCACTTTGAACTTTAGAATACATTATTTATCTATTTGTTTTTGAAATTACAAATGAGTGGATTTATGATTTTTTTAAAGATAACTTCAATTCTTTCATCCAAGATGTCTTGTGTAAACAGAACTGATGAGCATTAAAAGCATCAGCATAACATATATTCACTTTCACTGTTTTGCTACAATGCCCCTAAGTATAGAAGTGACAGTTATTGATATATGCAAGCAAAATTCAGGCCCACAAAGAGATGTATAATTCATATGTTAGAATGTTTTTGCATGTATGTGGATTATCTTTACAATCAATTCACAAGAAAATAGGAAAGGTTGGGTCCTAGAGGGTACATTTTCAAAGCTTTATACAGGAGTTACACTCATTAGTTCTATTAATGAATAATAGAATTAGTGTATACACCACTTCTGTGGCTTTCTGAAAGTTCCACGTTTAGACAAAACTTAAGAGGATGAAATAAAAAAAAAAATTAAAAATCCTAATAACATGTCAACCAGTGATTATGCCTTTCTATTCATGTATAAGCTGCTCAACAGTACTTTTATGTTTTTGTTGGAATTACCACTGCTGGAAAGCAGTAATTCAGAGACAGATTTTATTGTTTTGGCTACTAACATAGAAATATTCCTGTCCTGCTGAATCTTCCGTTTCTTCTTTCCACACTGTAAAAACAGGCACCTTGATATCTCTATAAAAGATACTACCCAGCATAACCA